TGTGTGTGTGTGTGTGTGTGTGTGTGTGTGTGTGTGTGTGTGTGTGTGTGTATATACTCGTACCACAATCATTTCCATTGAAGAAACCGATAAATTGTCTTACCATGTGGGTTTTGGCGGGAGGTGGATTATCAAGACCAAAACAACAAGGTTCAATTGCAGCTTCTACTGAAGAAGACGGTAAGACTGGTGAGCTTCATACCTCATTAATTCCACTAGCACTATTCTGCCCTACTGTGCTGCTACATTGTCATGTACATATGGGAACATCTAAATGAAAATAAAGTAACCTTGAACCTTGAAGTGCTGATAAACTTTCCGATAATAACTTTACCCCCCCATAAATGTTATATTATAGCTACACCATGTGTATTCAAATTTTTTTCATTTGTTTATTAACAGTTATTTGGAGCTGAGGAATGACACTGTGCAACCAGAACCAGTTCAGGTTCTTTAAACCATCTCAGTTGCTATGGACTTAACAGAAGAATGATTGGACTTTCCTGTTACTTTTGAAACCCATCCAAAACTCATAAAGTAAATTTTACGACACTCCCAGCACTACAGCAAGATTGCCTTTTCTTCTCGTTATGCCCCTCGACTTTGAACCAATATGTAAGCGGAAACTTAACTCCCAATTTTAAGTAGTATTTATCCAATATCCAATACAGCTGCCAGTGGAGAAGTTTCCAGTAGCTTTAAACAGTTTTCAATGTGATGCTGACATATAAGCTGTATAGTTAAATGTTGATCTCATTAAGTGTGACTGCATGGACGCTCTTTTCACTGATTCTTTTTTTCCACCACTGCTGCAGTACATGTCTCACAGCCACAGTAATCTGAGATGCGCTGTCCTCCACAGTACTAGCACTTGAACTTTGTTTTCCTTTACACACAGCAGCAATGTGCCATTAATATAATTTTGGCCCTTAAAACCTCTGGGGATGTATAATGTCTAAGTGCATAGCTCATATACCCTTTGAAAACATTGCTTTTGCCCCCCCACACACACACTTTAGCATTACAGCTAAACTGTCACATTAATCTCTATTTCCTCTTGTCTTTAAGTGCTGTGCCTTGGTTACCATAGAGACTGCTATATTTTCTTTTGTCTGCTCAGCTCTAATAGCTGTCGGCACACCAGAAATAAGTCCAAGGACAATCTTATTGTCCTCAGTCAATGTGCTTGTCAACTTTTGGCCTGTAATTTTGCCTGATCTGATGACTGACCTTGTCCCTACAGATAATTATGTCTTACTTCTAATTTTCCTGGTGTTTTTGATGTCTACTACTTTATATATCACTTTGCTCCTGACTCAGTTTAACGACCACTTTATGCTGCTCATTTGGCGTCCCTCATGTGACAATGGTTTGGTCATTATCACTTTCATCTGCATTCATTAACAGCTTTTTGCAGTTTTTCTGCTTAGTAAGCAGTGACTGAAAGCACAAACAACAGATCCTGCTAACCACCTCAAATGAAACAAATTAAATGTGTTTTTACATAAACGAAATTAATTAATCAATCACACATTTAAAGACATGTAATTAATGATGCATCATTTACTATTTTAAATAATTAATGGCACATGACATAATGATCTATTTATTCATTTAATAATATTCATTTAATTTTGGCACTTTTGAGCCTCAACAGTGTAGCAGTTTGCACTATTTATTTTTGTAGTATTTTCTCGGAAATCATTGACGTGTCCACAAGAGTTCCAAAGTTGTCTTTAAACATGCTGCTGCTGACAATTTACAAGGTATTTACGTTTTCAAAGACACTGTGGGATCAGAGATGGGGGTGTGTGTTGAACTCTCTCACACTCTGTCTGACTCTCTCTTTATTTATAGTGGTGCAGAACTCGGGCCTTATACATAAGATAACTCTGCACCATCCCTTGCTTCTTGT